CAGCCAGAGTCAGATTCCAAGGTCACCTATCACAGCACATGCCCCTAGAAAATGGAATGCCACAGCGTGGGGTTCTCAGTCCAGCCCTATTCAACACCCTAATGTCCTGTATCCTCAGCATACACCTCCCAGTGGGGTGCAAGATCATCTCCAGTGCAAGATCATCTCCAATGCAGATGATCTTGCAATCATCTCCACTGGACCACACTGCCTAAGTAGAGCCCAGCGTTGTCTGGAATTTGTATCCAAGGAGTGTAGTAGGACAGGACTAAAGATCTCTGCAGTCAAATCAAAATCCATGGCTCTGAATCACAAGGCACGTCCGAAAATCCAGAGAATGGACTTAGAATGGGTCCAGGACTTCCAATGCCTTGGGGTTAAGGACTGACCGGACCGGTCTGCCATGAGAGCAATGACTGGGAGGCAGATAGGAGCCAGGTACAAAGTACTAGGAGCATTCTATGTCATGCCGTTCGGCCCATTGTGGACTATGCCTCTGTCGCCCTGATTGCAACAAAGAAAAAAATAGAAACAAATTGCCAGGATCATTCTGGGTGTCCCAAGGTGGACGAAGGTCCTCAACCTCCGCATGGAGACAAACATTCTCCCCCTGGACTCACGAATTGATCTAATGGCAGCACATTTCCTTTCAAAACTCATCCAGGCTCACAGGAACACAAGCCCAAGACAAAAAATACTCAGACGCCTAGAACAAGACCACGAGCTCTTTGCAAACAACTCCTGGCTGTCTCACACAGCCAGGGTGTTGATACGCTATCAGCTCAAAGAACAGCTACTTGCCAAGGGCATGGACTCCCTCCCTGATTTTATCGAAGTCCCGCTGTGGGTACAAACTTTGATAAAGTTCTCTGTTATAGACCTGCGAAGGAGAAAGAATCAGTGCCCCATGCCTTGTCTAAAGGCAGAAGCCGAGAGGGTCATTGTAGCCATCACTCCTCCGGGCAGTAGAACATACTTCACGGATGGATCAGTCGATCCCTTGACAGACAACGCCTCTTCGCTACAGGCAGAGGCAGTTGCGATCATGGGAGCCCTATCCCACGCGTCCCTGAGGGAAGGACACGTGGTCATACATACAGACTCCAGGGCAGCCATTGACTGTCTTCAACACAGCTCACCCAAAGTCAACATCTACCTCCCGACCACTGTGCTTACTATAACGCAGAGAATTCTTGCTCAGGGTAGAAGAATAATAATTAATTTGGTACCCAGCCACATAGGCATCAGAGGGAACGAGCTTGCTGAGAGACTATCCGACATTGGCAGGGACACTCCCTCAAATCCCATGATCATACAACCGAGCTGAAAAATCTTAAAGGAGAAGTGTACTGGGACAGCTCATGCCTTCCTCCTGCAGAGAGAAAACGAGATCTTCCCTCTCGGCCAGATGGTACTCAGAAGCCACTGGCACTGTCTGAAGCCAGCAATAGAGGTACCGAAGTCATTCTTCACAGAATTAGACTAGGTTATCATTGTGCATGACAGATCATAAAGACAATAGACCGTGAAGAGAGGTGTTGCATGCATTGAGGCGAGCCGAATTGTGTGTGCTTACACCGGGGTGTGAGCACACATAATTTGAGACATAACAGCTGCCGGACTGGTAAAGAGATTATGCGGTATGCTTACATCATGGCGGCAGGAGCGCCTGCTGACAACCCCGCCACTACGGTAAGCACCGAGTGTCAGAGAAAAAAATGAGATAGCCATAAATAGCTGACACCTGACCGGGCCCTTATTGGAAGGCCCGGGCGAAGGTGGATCGCAAATCTCAACTGTATTCTCCCTCTCTCTCTCTCTCTCTCTCTCTCTCTCTCTCTCTCTCTCTCTCTCTCTCTCTCTCTCTCTCTCTCTCTCTCTCTCTCTCTCTCTCTCACACACACACACACACAGATCGCAAATCTCAACTGCAAATCTCAACTGTATTCTCTCTCTCTCTCTCTCTCTCTCTCACACACACACACACACACACATACACACACACACACACACACATGCACACGCACATACTCTTGCACACGTAGACACCACACACGCGCGCGCGCGAACACACATATGCATACATTTATACACAGATACATGCACACACACACACACACACACACGCACGCACGCACGCACACACGTGCACACACACACACACACACACACACACACACACACACACACACACACACACACACACACACACACACACACACACACACACACACACACACGGTATTCGGTTTTGATATTGATAAGGTAAAAATTTACATTAGATTAGGAAGTTCATTATTTTGATCACTACCATTATATATATTTTGTTATTTTCTACGTTACCATTTTTGATCACTTGGTCTACCATGTTTTTTCTACAATGAAAAAGGCAAATTGCAAAAAAGTATCACAAATATTAATGTCTCATAATATGTTGTACTCTCATTTTCTGCATTCAAAATTTGAATTTTGATGTATTTCAATCATTAAGATTGGTAAAAGACTGAGGCATTTATTATTTTCCTATTCATTCTATTGAAAATGTTCTGCCGCGTCAACATCTAAGCATGAGGCTTGGGGGCAAAGCTGCCAAGTAAGGAAAGGCTAAATGACATCAAGGGCCATGTGGTGCTATGCTAATGTAGAGGAACGATTGGTGTTTGGAATGAATTAATGGTTAGGGTGAACAGCACTAGAGGGTAGTATGGTAGTGGAAAGGGTAGAGGGAGTATTAAAGGCTGTAGAGCCTTACTATAATGGCTATAACTTATTGATCAATGATGGTGGTTAAAGCGCTTGACTCTTTATTTCCATAGAAGAGTACAACACAGTAAGGGGAACACAGTAGACATTGACATTGGGTAACCGCCGAGGTGTTGCGTGTCCGGCAAGCCAGCCCTGGGGAGCCGGAGGCTGGTGGTTGACCTGGGCACAGTGACTGCTGACCTTGTCTGAAGGGTCAGACGAAGTCAGATGTAATCGTCATCTGAGTCCCCTCTGGTGTGATAGTTCCATACTGACTTAGAGCCACGTGGCAAACAGCTACGTGGTCTGTTGGTCTAATGGCTTACACAAATCGTGTTTATGTACACATTATAGAGGAGCTGATGGAGTATACTATAAGGTAGAGGTTGTTAAGGGGGAGTAGGGAGCATTATGATAAAAGCATTGTGGCAAAAACGGTAAAAAATAATTTTAACGATTAAGATAAGTGGACAAAACACGGGGATGAAGAGAAGGAAAATCAGAGGAGAAGAAAAGACCATCCAAAATTAGTTGAGGCAAGGGCTGAGGACCAAGGTTGGGGTGATCCCCCACACTGGGCCACAGTCCCCGTCTCATAACTCCCCCCCTCCCCGATAACAAAGAGCAAATGATTGGGGGGTATTAGATTTCTAGGAAACTGTATTGTTTGATAATAGTTATAAGTTGAACAGTTCACATATTTATTTTATATATATTAACGCCAGATGTTTTATCTCAGTTATGTATTTGCTGTACATTTATTGAGGAGATACCCAAAAATAAGGTTACTTTCTTTCTAGCCCCATTTCATAAGAAACTTTGTATACTGCATCCAAAACCAGAGATCATGGTAAATGTAGGTATCCTATGCTTCTGATTTTTCAATGCATAGCTGACTCCACGAAGGTCCATGGCTCTGGATTTTGTGGGGAAATCCTGTTGTGGATGAGTTAATCATGTAAATATATACATGCTGGAAGAAAACTAAATAAGACTTTATGGCTTACTTTCTTTGAAAACAGCTGCTGCACATCATCTTCAAGGATAATATTTTATTGTATACTTTAGTTATACTGGAAATGTTTATTAATATTTGTTTCCCTGAAGCAGCTTGCATCTATTAATAAAATTTTGGCATTTTACACATTCAAGTTGCCCTGCACATAAGAAAATAATGCAGTTTTCTTCCATACATTTTTAATCATTAGTTTTGTATATTCACACAAAGAAAATGAAAATCCAAAGAGAATTATGATATGCCAAATATTCCAACTGAGTGGTCATCTCAGCCACACATTTAATGTAAATAAAACACACATTACAAGCAAATTTAGCCTTTGCTTGTAAACCATACATGTGAATGTGATGGCTTACAATATAGGAATATCACATTACAAATTTTGTGATGTGCATCAATTACAAACTTGACACAGATGTATTCACGTGAACATTATCATTGGTTAAAATATCTGAGACCAGAGACCTTAATTTCCATATCTTTATTCATTAAATAAATATTGGATAATGTAATCTAATGCAATGATCATCAACCGAAACAATCGGCTAACTGAACCATCACAAAATGGCTACTGTACTGATGTAAAATTGTCTTAATCATTCAAATCAAACATTTTGTTGACTAAAAAAAAAGGTTCCCGAACTACCTACTCTACAAACACATGAAAAGAAAAAAAAACAAAGATTCTTTTACTTTTTATTTAAGCTTTATTCATGGACTTTAAATTGGCCATCAAACATGGACCAAACTGCTTATGCAGCATATTTATACTAGCCTGTTCAGAGCAGTGTTGTAAGGTTGCTGCAGAACAGACACCCAGCCATGTTGCCAAGAGAAGAATTTTTTAAGATTGCTTTTGACACAAAGTATATCTGAACTTAAGCTAACTGTTGGGGAAACTTTCTCAGCATCTGGTTATTTGATAGCTAAACAACCCCTACCTTAGAGAAAAAAATCAAACAGACTTTACAAATAAATTTATGCAAGTGATTTTTTCACTTGTATAAACAAATGCTTTCCCAGTTTACAAAAAAAGAGAAACTATTCTTATAAAAAAAGGAAACATTTCTTAATTTGAGCTGAGAACTATAATGCTATTAAGATAAGTGTTCTCCTCACACATATAAAAATATCTTATTTCTTCTCATCTTTCTTCTTATCCTTATCCTTCTCTTTATCCTTGTCCTGTTGAGTGAGAGACCCTACAGCCTCTTTGACAACCTGGCTCTGGGGGTCAACGCCAGGCAGGTTTTGCAAGACACTCTCTAGAAAGGCTGGATCTGCCATGACCTGGGAGAAATCCTGTTCCTCCTCCTCTTTCTTCACCTGTTAAAGAAAAAATGAATATATATAAATAAATAAATTATGTCAAGAATATTACCAGTTCTACTCAGCAATTTAAAGGACAGGAAGGGAAGGGAAGGGAAGGGAAGGGAAGAGAAGAGAAGAGAAGAGAAGAGAAGAGAAGAGAAGAGAAGAGAAGAGAAGAGAAGAGAAGAGAAGAGAAGAGAAGAGAAGAGAAGAGAAGAGAAGAGAAGAGAAGAGAAGAGAAGAGAAGAGAAGAGAAGAGAAGGGAAGGGAAGGGAAGGGAAGGGAAGGAAAGGAAAGGGAAGGGAAGGGAAGGGAAGGGAAGGGAAGGAAAGGGAAGGGAAGGAAAGGGAAGGGAAGGGAGGGGAGGGAAGGGAAGGGAAGGGGAAGGGAAGGGAGGGAAGGGAAGGGGAGGGGAAGGGAAGAATCCAAACAGCAAAATACTTACCTCTGAGCTTTCCTTTACTCCCTTTGCACCTCTGTCTTCACTTGGTGTATCCACATCCATTGGTTCCTCCTTAGGCTCTGCTTTAAATTAAATGTTTTTATTAATTAACTTCAAATAGTACCTTCTCAAATAAGGTGAGTGAAGGAAGAAACTATGAAGTGAAAGACTGTCTACAAAACTATTCCTTTGTCAGCTTGAACTGCTTATGATCTGAACAGAGTATCTTGTAAAGCATAATTTGTACAATGAAGGGAACTCACTGGCCCTGTAGGGGAATACATGCCCAAAGAAATTTGTAATTTAATAATGTTATATTGCTGTTAAATTTATTTTGTAATAACTATCATACATAGCAAACACACTAAGGGTCTATCATGTATAGTGAATTCTGCTAGGTAGCACAAACAATATATTTCTTATATACATAATTATCACTCGTTTGTTATTATATATTAACTCATCCAAACTCAATGCACACATTTGAAAAGTACTTCACAGACATTTTTTTCTTTTGATATATAAACACTGAAAATGTGTGGGGCAGTTAACTGAAAACATTTTATCACATGTCTGTAAATAGATAAATTAGAAATGGGGAATAAGAACAAGAAATTAACTGAAGTCAAAATAAAACTGCTGGACTTAATAAATTACTGCTTGAGCATAGTCAGCCCTTACTTTGGCCAACTTGGCAGTTTATATCGCATTTTAATGGGTTATTCACCTACATAATGGTAGTTTCAAAAGTATAATACATTCTTTGTTATTGACTAATTTATATTTATCAGTTTATAACTTTTAGTTACTTTATTACATACTTTCATTATTAACATGGCCTAGAGTATACTCACAATTGAGACAAAGAACCTATCCATCTCATTCTTAATACCTACAACATAAGTGGTAATTACAACAATATGCAATCCTTACCACAGTCCTGCATAGAAATCTGCATTGCATATGCAATCTGCTCTTCTTCTGTCATTGCAGAGAAGTCTGGAACAGCAGCAGCAGGGGCAGCTTTTGGAGCTGCAGCTGGCTTGGCAGCAGTGGATCCTTTAGCTTGTGTTGAGCCACCAGCACCTCCAACTTCCAGTGACATTGCTAGAGCTTGTTGTAACATCTCCTCTTCAGATTGACCACCTAATGGAAAAGAGGATAAAGGCAAGCAGTGAAATAGTGAGACATACCTGACGCAAACTTTTGTTTATTAACTGAGAAAAGATTGCCCATAGTATGCATATGCTACTTTCTTGTCACAAAACCTAAAATTGGTTTAAGATGAAAAACTTATGTTTTTAAAGTACACACATTTGCATATGAAATTTCTGAAATACCTTCTGTTGCAGCAGGTTGTGGTGTTGGTGTCGTGGCAGGTGGCTGAGGTGTAGCTTCAGCAGATGGAGCCTTTGCTGCCGATTCCTGAGCAGCACGACGTTCCTCTTCCTGCTGTCTCTGCCGTTGTTCCTCCATAGACACACGCAGAGCCTAGAAAAAGAGTGCAATTATCAAAATAATCAAAAGCCAATCCACATTACAAATGTTCCACTTTGTAAAAACATTTAATTCCTCACTTTTAACTAAAAGTCTGCGGATAATCAAGAAAGCTTACCAGTGCCAGTTCTGGATCCTCATTAGGATCAACACCAAACTCAAAGCCCCCGCCTGTTGCAAAGCTTGCAGCCGATCCTCCATCCTCACCCTGAAATGAGGAGAGTAAAAAAAAAAAATTGTGAATTTTGTTAAAACAGATGGCTCCACATGTGCATTGCCACCAGGGAGTCTATCAGTAAGCCCTAGTGGCCTTGCCTGATTTCTCCATTCCTTGAATTTGTGTTTTTTTTTTTCTTTCTAATACTATTACTACTGATACTGTTATTAAAATATTAACACACAAAATAGAATGGACCATTTCTGGGTGTCTCATATGCGAGACGCTATTGTTCCTAGTTGTCTGCCAGGTATCTCATGCATGAGATGTAATGCATGGACCTCAGTAACATCTGTTATGTCTACATAAATATTCCCAAGACTATTTCTTATTCACATGTAACCACTAGTTACATTATGAGGTCATTTAAAGAATAAACAGATATACAGACAGAGACAGGGAAGTAGGCATATGAAGTGATGTCATGAAGAACTTCATCAAAAAGAGTTACATCATGAAGATGAAGCGATGTCATTACAGTCACTATATTTACTTTCAAGACACACATGTGATATCACTTTCCTAACACCATCTTACTTCCATGTAGTAGTAAATAATGTCACAAGTGATGTCAGTACACAGGCTGTGATGTGATTGGTCACATTACGTGACATGTGACCCAGGCTGCTTTGACCTCATTAGCTCCTGTTGGTTCCCTGCCAGGTTGAAGTGTATAATTTTCCTATAAATATTAAGTGCTTGCACATGATTCAATACTTGCTTTTGCAATGCCCTGCTTTGCCTGGATTAGCAGACACTCTTCCTCCTTTGAGGTCGCTCTCTAACTTCCCCCAGTCTCCCACCTTCTTTGACTGCTCCTCCGAGGAGAGTGGCAATGAGTGATTGCCCAGTAGGGTGGAGGACATCAACTTCAATGTATCTTGTTCAGAGGACAAACTGGATTATGTTTCAAAGGAAGACACCATGCTCCACAGCCATGAACCCCTCTCTAAGCTGCTGCTGAAGAACACTTCTGGGACCAAGAACTTTGTCTAGTGACAGAAGAATAATTACCTCAAGCATTTTGGCTTAGGAGATAGTCCTGGGTCAAGGCCACAATGGATGTGTCGAACACGTCCTTGGAGATCTTTGGCTGTTTCTTCTAATCATCAAGGAGACCAACAGGTAAGTTTTCATTTTTATCGCTTTTGTGTTCTTTCCATTTTTATTCATATTAAAGGAAATTTCTCTTGCATTGCGCAATCAGAATGTATTACTTACTTGTTCTTCTTTTCCACTCCCACAGATATGCGGTTGCCCGCTTGACGAAATGGACACCCTCGTTCAGGCAGGAGGTTCTGGCATACCTTGGGATATGAGTGGTAATGGGGCTGGTAGATGTCCCCAGATATTGGAAATGCAAGACGGTTCCTGGCCATACAGTGCAAGGACTGCAATACCCTCACCATGCCACTAAATAAGCCATCGGAATTAAAGGATTACAATGTTGGCATGAAAAGTGCTGATGTTGGTGATCAGATGTAAGCTACTATCTGACAACTTGCTTGTCCAAGGTCTGGTACAGGAAGGTCATTTTCTTCCTCTTTGACACAGCCATCATCAATGCCTGGGCCATCCATCATGCTCTGGGCATAGAGGAATCGCCGAACATTTTGCCTCTGAACTCTTGGGGACTTCACAGAAGGGCCCGACTCCACCAGGAACCGCACTGCAACAAGACCACCAGTTGCAGTGGGGTGGGCTCTGCAGCAGTGACAGCACACAGTCACTGCAGTGGGGTGGGAACTGCAGCAGTAATGGCATGCAGTCACCAAAATCCCCAATGGCTGAGGATGCTGCTGTTGGTTCAGGGCAGAGTTGACGTGGGAACAGCAGGAACTTGTATTGTTGGCCTCTGCTGCTATAAGAGGCTTGGCATGCAGCCCTGTGATGCCAACCACAGGAGAAAGCAAAAAATCTATTTTCTAAGCCCTTAACCCCTTGCCGACGGGCATGGCATGTACGTACATGCCATGCCCATTGTGAGTTTACTTGTTTGATTGTTTTTACACATAGATGGCTACCGCCTGTCTCGCCCGTTCACCCTTTTCATTGATTTACGAAAATATTTAACGTTATCTTATTTTGATGTTACAAATGTTTATAACATTTTAGTAATTATAACATTTATAATAATCGCAATCTATATTTATAGCACTAGTAAAAATACGTTTTTCACACCAATTCAAGGAAAGGTGAAATCCTTTAAGGCTAAGCAACTAGCAGAGCCATCTAGTAACAGGGACATTTCACAAAAATATAAAAAATGAGCACAAAATTTCTCCCATTTTTTATTCCTTTTCCCCGTCGCTAAAGGGTTAATGATAAGTGAAGAAAAAAAAAAACAAACTATGCTCTGGAGATTAACCCAATGGCGCCGGGTGTACAAAAGAAAAAAGAAAAAAAAAAAAAAAAAAAGAAAAAAAAAAAGAAAGAAAAAAAAAAAAAAAAAGCTGTGTGACCAATAATGTGTGGTAAAGGAGATACCTGGCACAACTGTCAGCTATATAAATTAAGTCCCCTCAAACCTACAGACAGACTGATGTCAATGGGTTAATTGTTTTCTACAGATAAGCATTGAGAATAGACTACTTTCCTAGAAACATTGGAGAGAAAAAAAAAAAAAAAAAAACCCTCTGGAAGCAAAAAATTTCCATACACCTATAATTCCCATTCTACTGACCTGGACAATAGGCGAGGACAAGAGGGCATCTGCTAGATGAGGTGAAGGAGGCACAGTGACCAAGTGTGATCCACCACCCTCTCGGCCATTGATGGTACTCACCATGGCCTCCAACAGAGACTGGTTGATATCCTGGACCAAGAAATTTAACGTTTTTCATTATGAGACAGTGTCTATCATTGACGTGTGAAAAATTATATCAGTGATATTAAGTTTCTTCAAGAATAATTTTGTGGATCACTTCTTCCATTTTGTTCATTCATTAGAATCTGTGAAGGCTTACTAGGGAAACAAGTATATAATAAATATAAAAGCACATTTGCACACAAAAATCACCCAGTCACTTCTATTGTGTACTCACTGTCTCCCCAAAGTTAACAATGTCAATGTTAACTTTCTCCTTCTTGAGGCGTTTGGCTACCTTAATGATTTCTTTTTCGTCAGCCTCAATTGGACTTCCCACAAAGGCAACAATACGCATTTTGTGGTTTTTACTTTGACGGTGTTTCAGCGCTAACTGTAGATAAAAGAACAAAAACAAATTTCAGCTGAAGGAACATTTTAATTCTTTTTATAAGGGTATAAGCAATGTAGTCTATTATAAATCAACTTTCTTGCAAGAGTTAAAGAACAAAAAGGCTGAAGAAAGGCTTCTGTCCTAGATTTCCAGGAGCTGTTACCTCACACTTACATGAGCAATTCGTATACCAGTCAGGAGATTGATGAACCCATTTGGCATTACTTTATGCAGTGATGTCAGGATTTTCCCAACATCTGTCGTCAGTGTTGCAAGGACCTCAGTACTAGAAGAAATAGTCAGAAATTTCATTTAAACATCTGTAATGATTTTAATTTATAACTTATTAGTTATGCTACATAAAAAGAATTCCAATTACAGTCTTCTAATAATACTTTAATACTAAATGTGCCAGATTATAGTAACATTCAATATGAATATATTTCTGAAAAATAAGTGATCTTATAATAGTACGATCACTCTTGATTATGACTCTAAGAATATCAATTATCACTATGAGGATAGTAATCTACAGAACAGAAGTGCTTTCCTAGTCCTACAACTGAATGCAATAAACAAAAATATTAAACTAAAAAGGACCTCTAAATTCACTTTTAAATACATAATTAAGCATATAACTTACTTGGCTAAGGTGAGGAGGCCAACATTGTTCTCAGGATTAGACCTAAGTTTAAAACGGCAAATGGTGTTAACTGCATCCTGCTGAGCTTGGAGACGTGTTGGCACGTAGTCTCCATTTCGCATGTATTCACTATTGTCAACACTGGGGAGGGAAGAAAAAAATGCAGGACAATAAAAAATCCAAGTACCTGATAGCCATGCACCTCCAAAAGAGTTATCAGACTATTACATATATGGTCTGAGAACACCTTTGGATGCACACGCCTACATGTTATAAAACTGACCTTTTTTTTTTTTTTTTTTAGTTTTTAGTTTTTAGTTTTTAGTTTTGCTGATTGGGGTTACACTTGCTTTGTTTCACTCTGGAACCAGTCTTAACCCATTGCCGCCAGGGATGGCATGTACGTACATGCAATGCCCACTGTGAGTTGACTTGTTCGATTGTTTTTACACATAGATGGCTACTTGTAATAAGTATCCAATGAGCCAATTACAAGTACTGCTTGTCTTGCCCGTTCACCCTTTTCATCGGTTTACGAAAATATTTAACGTTATCCTAATTTGCTGTTAAAAATAACACCATCTATATTTATAGCACTAATAAAAATACGTTTTTTCCCGCCAATTCAAGGGAAGGTGAAATTAGGACTAGCAGAGCCATCTATGGACAGATATTTCACAAAAATATAAAAAATGAGTACTGCATTTCCCATTTTTTGTTCATTTTCCCCGGTGGCAATGGGTTAAGTCAAGCATTATCAGCCTTTTGGCCTGGCCTAGGTGGGCTATACAAGAAACTAGGCGAGCTAGACCTTGAACCATTTTATACATACACACACACACATATCGTCACCTTCATAAAATAACTGCCTAAGTCATTTTTTGGCGATTTCTTGATTTTTGCATAAGTCAGTTCTTCTTGATGTGGTGCACCTATTGATATTCTTGCTTAAATAATTTGTTGTACATCTATCAAGAAGTTTTAAAATGAAAAACACTGCACTGATATCAAAATTAAGAAAATGAGAAAGTTTTTTTCGATTTCCCAAAATGTTGAAGAAATGACTTAGGCAATTATTTTATGAAGGTGACGATATACATACATATATATATTTATATATACACACATATACATATACATATGTATTCATATATATACGTATGCATACACGTACACGCACACACACACACACACACAGTGTGTCTCAGGGCTGTGGAATTGGAGTCGGAAGGAGTTTGGTGCTGTTGGAGTCGGAGTCGGTTGGTAAAAATGTCCCGACTCTGACTCAGACCTTAACATATACCGCAAAAATCCCTCTTTTTAAACACATCACGCACTATTTAAACCTGAGAGAATGAGAAATCATATGTTCACAATATCATAGTCCTATGTAATTTTTAAAAACATAATATGTTTGTTTGTTTTTTCAAGAAAATAAATAAAAAGGCTCCAATTACAAAGTTATAGCCATTTTACTCAAACCTTTAAGGACATGGGGTTAAAAGTTAGCCTGCAGTTATAAAATCCATTTTCTAAAAATTATCATATCTAGGGATCGGAGTCAGAGTCGGATATTTTGGGTACCAACTCCACAGCCTGGGTATGTATGTATGTATGTATGTATGTATATATGTATGTATATATATGTGTGTAGGTATGTATGTATATATGTATGTATATATGTATGTATATATGTATATATATATGTGTGTGTGTGTGTGTGTGTGTGTGTGTGTGTGTGTGTGTGTGTGTGTGTGTGTGTGTGTGTGTGTGTGTGTGTGAAATTGACTTCATAACTTCAAATAAGTGCTACATAGTAAAAAGTATGGAAGTCATTAACCCATTTGTGACAGGATGTCATGTATCTGTGACATACCCACTGTGAGCTTACTTGTTTAATTGTATTTACACATAAGTGGCTACACTTGTACTAAAACACCAATGAGCCAATTACGAGTACTGCCTGTCTTGCCCGTTTACCCTTTTCTTTAATTTACAAAAATATTTTACATGATCTTATTTTGCTGTTACTAATGTCTATAACATTATAGTAATTATAATGTTTATCATAAATTCAAAAAAAGGTGAAATCAGGTAAGGCAGAGTCATATACATGTAGAGGCATTTCAGTATAAAAAATGAGCACAGCATTTTCCCTGTTGCGAATGGGTTAATTTAGTAAATGTTGGCAGCGACCATAGAATAGTCAGAGGCCAAATTAAATTAAAGGAGAGGAACAAACTCATAAGAAAACAGCAGCCATATTTAGCAAACATGAAGACCAGAGGGACAGAAATTTGCCTTAACATGCAAAACATATATTCGCTTCTCAACGACGAAGATCTCAACGTTGACCAAATCAACAAACAGTTCAATGGCATAATAAAGGAAGCTGCACGTCAAGCAGAGCTCCAGCAAGCTCTTGGTGGAAACTAAACAGCTTATACAAAAACATTAGGTTACGAGAGTATAGTCAAACAGGGACAAGATAGAATTAGCTGAAATAACAAAGACTATAAATAAAAAGAAGAGAAAAGATGTATGGAAACTCAATACTCAAATAACAAATGAAACAGTGATCTCAGGTACCAGCATGGAAGGAGACTCTGAATCGGGAGAAATCAAATGTATGCAATAAAGAAACCAGATGGAGAAGTGACGTACAATAAGAATGAAATCACATAGGGATCTATACAGCAATGTTACAGAGAGCGATGCACAGAGATAGAAGGACTTAGACACTGCCATTTTATACAGTATAAAAAGTAGAGTCATAAGCAACACAGGTACATCTGCTGTGGCCTCACATTTATTGTGAATTAACAAAAATATCCACTGCATATCACCACTCAGTCTAAATCCACAACACGCTCATACAGCCAGAGTTCTTAACCCAATGGCGCCGGGTGTACAAAACAAAACAAAACAAAAACTCTACGCTCTGGCAAACAAAGGTGGCGTGCCGACTTTGAGCGTGTGAGTAGGGTTCATCAGCCTGAATCACTGGCTTGCTGCGCTTTGGCACGCCGTACAGCCGCACGCCAGCTTTCGAGCAGTTTGTTTTCATGGTGCTCGGCGTCACCTTGTGTTAAGGGGTTAATGTCCTTTTTTTTTTTTTTTTTTTAAATAGTGATAATAAAAGAAGGTACAGGGGGAGCTTGCCCCCATTCCTTAGGAATAAATAAAAATGTAGGAAATGTTAGGTCTGGATTCTGGGTTTGCATGATGCCCTGGTTTTGGGACACTGGAGGGTGCGTTGCTCTCAGTAACACATACCACACAAAAAATCTTTCACTATTCACAGCAGGAGAGTGTTGGACAGACTCAGCGTCAGGCACTCCAGCATGGCGGTTGCGCACTGTACCCTGCTGAGGGTAGCGCAAGAACTCCACGCTGCACACATGCAACAGGACCTCCCATAAAACAAGCCAACAGACATCGCATTGCATTACTGTAAATATAATAACTTCATATTTGTCAATGGTGACTGTTGCAAAATCATCAGCAGAAAAAAGTTCTCAGCCATCTTTTTTCCCCAAATTGCCAAAGTTCTTACATTTTTACTATTTGTTACTAATTTCTTCAAGATCACCCAAACATTCAAAATCTTAAGCTCAATATCAAAGAGTATTAAGATCCAAGGAACCTTAGACACGAAGTAATTAACTTAGCATTAGTAAGGCTTGGCAGACACAAAGAAAACCCCAGTTGAAGGCAGAATTGACTCGGGAAGCAGCGGCGAATTCCTTCCAGCACATGGAGCTCTCCGCCTAGGAATCGAATTTCTCGCCAAAGCCTCAAAAATGAAACAATAAAATTCCCGTTTCTCCGCGAGACTTTCCAATTGTGCAGCGTCACGACCTGTCACCCGCACTCAAACCCCTATTTCAATGACTCTCCGCATCTTTTATTCTTGGGACTAAGCTCCAACCATGCTAAAAAACCTCCTGCACCTCTACGAAATGTTTAATACGCCCTAGATAGTGGGAAACATTGGTAAAACTCACCATATAATAGTGCTCTCGAGAACCATCTTGCCCGCACTGTTTACCGCTGGGTCTGCCTGAGCCGCTCGTTCACATCCACGGAACACGGGCGGCGGCGGGGGACTCAAAGGGACTCGAGGGACTCGGAGGCGAAGCAAGTCCCAGGCCCACAGTTTAGGTTTCCCATGTTGTGACATATGTTGAGGAGAGAAATCACATTTTCACGACCTTAGGTTTATAGGCAATTGATAGATGAATAATACAGTTTTAGATTTACAGGCTGAACATCCTTACGCTTGGTTCCAATTTGTGGCATAATAATGACAGGCAACGTTCAGAGCCAAGTAGTTTTATTTACTTCATTATAAGTCTCCACATCAGCATTCTTTGAAGGTAATAACATCATTAGTAACAGGAAAGGATATCTCGTACCATACTTTATATATATATATATACATATATATATATATATATATATATATATATATATATATATATATATATATATATATATATATATATATATATATATATATATATATATATAAACATATGTATATATATATATATACATATCTTATATATATATATATATATATATATATATATATATATATATATATATATATCTTTATATAGTCTGGGAAACGCGTGCTATGAATAGCTAGGCATCTAGATATCTTCTTTAAGTATGTAGCCTTTATTACTCAACTGCTCATTGAGAAATTTTTCTATTAGAATATCCATCTTATATACTTTATACGTTGATAAGTGGTATATAGTAAAGGCTTTCGAGTTATTCTCGGAAATATACAATAAAACTTGATACAAAGAACAATAGAAATATAAGCATTTCAATCTATTTGGTTTAATTATATCTGTTTATTCTTACTCAACACTTAGCGCGCATTTTTCGTTTCGAAATTCCCACGATTTACTGCTAAACAGCTGAGGAAAACGGTACACATCTCCACATGAGAATTCAGCGCATCAGGCTTATAAACGGTAAATACTCTTGATTTTAGAATGTTCATATATTACATAACCATTATATTGTTTGGGGTGTAAGATACTCGAATGCGAGCCTCAATAATATCGCGTCCCAACTCCTTGTCTTGCTCTTCTATACACTTTTTCAGGATGCCTTCGGAACCAGCAGCCAGTTCCAAAGTATACCTTCATTATTTTGTCATACCGATATTTTTATTTTACACGCTGCATTGGTTTTGCAACTCCTCTGATGCATGGATAACTTACCTGTAACTGACAAACGGGAGAAATACTCTTTGATAGCAACAACAAGGGGCCATAAAATGACCTATCAATATCTTATGATCACCTGCAACTGGCATTGTTTACATACAAATGCTATTGTGATGTCATCTCGTCCTGCCCTCCCGGCTGCGAAGGCGAGATGGACGGGACGGGCAACTAGGACGCGAAAGTAGGGGATCTGAATGGTCAGAACTTCTTGTTGTGAAGTGCGAGAGGGCTTAAGAAAAAAAAGTAAACTTCAAATCTTATTCCAGTTAGATTTCTTATCACGTCATCGTTTTATACATATAAATTGATTGTTTATTGCCATGCGCGATCAGATAGTCAACATGGACCTAGAATTAAATAATAATCGATTTTTTTCCTCATTATTCATTTTTGTTATCACTTTTCTCAGTTCCTGTGCAAACTATTAGTGTTAGGGCTCGATGATTCGTCACATGAGAATTATAATTTTTTACTCTGACTCTCATTATGTACATTATGAATGAAGCATTTACGGCTCAACCACATATTCACATGTGTAAGAAAAATAGCTTACAAGTACGTTTTATGTCTAATATAAATTTATTTGCGGATGCTTAAGTAATCTTAATGCCACCCTGTGCCAACTTTCTCATAGAACCAAGTGTGTTGTCAGTCCAATTCAGCCAATGCTTTGAAATCTTAGGGAACGGAATGATCTTAAAGAGTAACCACTATGTAAATTAAATGTATGATATTCATCTCAGAATTTGTTCTTGTACCTCCAAATATGCATAAAATTAAAAAAAAATGAATAAAAAAAAAACGCGTTTTATATTCATAGCCTTTTGAATGAACAAATTCTGGGCCCAAAACGTCGTCTGCTACAGCTTTTAACTCAAATATTACCAGTAGCGCCACCAACCTGGGAATGACGTCATGAGTTGTGTTCATTTTCTTTGTCATCGCCGTGAATGCATGGATGAGAACATTTTGTGTGATATTTCCGTGTGATATTTTGTATGGAAATGTCCTATTGTCCACCAAATATGGATAAAGATCCATATTATTAATAGTGTATCTGTAAAAATATATTGAATTATTTAATTTAACACACTCACTCATTGGTTTCTCCTTCAAATCTGTGTTTATGTTGCACTTTGAAATGATCATAAACATTCTGCAGAACCCAGTCATCCAAGCTGTTAGACATGAAACCTGGATGCTGTGTAATGCACTTAATGTTTCCCTCAAAATTGTCGATGTACTCATCTATTTTTTCCTGTATTGGCATCTTTTCTGTGCAACACATGTTTTCCTCTGGAGTTTCACATAACTCACATCTGTCACACTTGCACCTGTAAAAATCAAAACCACAGTTAAGATGTATTTTAGTATAGGAATTTGCTAACCGTTAGGCCCAGGCCAGCCAGATCACAGGCCTATTGGACTAGGCCCCATTTTCTTCGGTACGATCGACTTCGAAAACCTGCAAAGGAATCGCCAATCACCTCCACTAACCCCAGCTGTATTAATTAAATCATGTTCATGGCCATAGCTTGCATGGCATGATGACATTTTACAGGATCAGGACCCTGACACACTGATATCTAATTAATATGGCCAGTCACACTGGAAGCATGCAGTGCACCCTGCATGCCCTGTACATAGACTGGACGTTTTGTTTACAGTGTAGGCTAAACTGCATTTCACATCATGTCGAACGATGGCGAGCCTAGACGCCGTATAGACTCATCAATAGTACCTCAGAATACCCTACTAAACTAAAGTTAGAGACACGAGAGAAGGGGTTTAAAAAACAGACCTACCAGTCAGTATTGTCCAGACAAATATTCGGGCTCAAATTGGTAACCAAGCACAACACCGTCTTGCCAAACATGCCATACATCTTCACTGTTATCGGAAATGTTTATAGAGTCCAGACTACCGTCAAAAGACGAACTTGAAAAGCTATCAACACTGGATGATGAAGAACACGCCGTAGCCATAATAAATAACACTGATACTACCACAACTCATGACGTCATTTCCATGAGATGGCGCTGCGAACAGTATTTTAATGTGTAAATTAGCAGACGACGCATATTTCGGAAAAAAAAATGCTTCAAAACTATATTTTTAGACAGAACTTTTTTGTAACAAGTTGCTTTTGAAAAAGTAGTATCTCAGCAATGAAAAAATGCAAAGTTGTGCACAAGCTTAGTGGTTACTCTTTAAATCAAAGTAATAAGCACCCCGGACTCACGAAACGATCAAATGGCAGCCAAAACTCTTGCAAAGGTCTTCCGGCTCCCAGGAACACGGCCTAAAGAAAAAATCTAGCAGACGTGGCCTGGAATCAAGACAACCGAGCTCTTTGCCCACAAACACGTGGCTGTCCCACACAGCCAGGGTTTGGTGATAAGCTTTGAGTTCTCAAAGAGCCGCTCCTGCCCCAAGGGTCATGGACTCCCCCTCCCTGGACTTTGTCGAAGCCCCGCCGTGGGCACAGAAATTGATAGTTAGAGTTCTCGGTCATGAGATGAGCGCTCAAAAAGACCGATATCCCACGCCTGGTCTAAAGGCAGAGAACTACAGGGTCAATCAGCCATCACCCCACCGGGTAGTAGAAACTACTCACAGCGGATCGGTAGATCCAGCCAAACCACACTGGCAGGCGCCGGCTTTGCAGCAAGGGATGCCATGCTCTCCATGAGGGTATCAGACAACGCCTCCTCGCTACAGGAGAGGCAGTTGCGATCCATGGAAGCCCTAGCCCACGCGTCCCCTTTGGGAGGACACGTATCTTCACACGACTCTAGGGCAAGTCCATTGACTTTCTCAAGCTCAGCTCAACCCAAAGACAATATCTACCTCCTGACCACATATTAACTAGCCCAAAGAATACTGGCTCAGGGTAGAAGAATCATCCTTAATTGGGTCCCTAGCCACATTGGCATCAGAGGAACGCAACTTTGCTGACAGACTAGCAGTCTCTGGCAGGGGTATGCCCCTAGTCCATGATCATTGCACCTAGTCCGTAGTTTACTTCGGATGAAGGTACTGGGTGTCGCCAACTCTTTCCTCCTTGCGCTTCACAGAGCGCAACGAGATTCCTCCTCCTCGGCTAGATGGTATTCAGAAGCAACGGGCTATGAACCACTGGCACTCTATGAGCTAAAAGAACAGACAAACGAAGTCATTCTCCCACAGGAATGCGCCTGGTTAACTGTAAATGGCAGAAAGTGAGCCATGGCAAACAAACAATCGACCGCGGCAAGATTTGTAACTAGACAGAATATTCAGAGGATCAACATTTCATTGAGATCTGTGAAAGCAAGCTTTACAAGGGCCTTATATACATGCGTCCCAGCGTGCTTCAGAGTTTTCTTAAACTGATTTGTCATCACTCATGGCTAATAACTATGACTGCCTGTAAGTGCTCCAGCATCCGCGGGGTGAGCAAGGGGCATAATCCTAGCAGTCCGGTGACAGTGATTGGTGGTCTCTATTTGAGAAACCGTGTAAGGTCGCACTCCTGAAAAAAATGCAATATGATGGCTTCAGGCACGCTACAATGCTTACAACAGCCGTCAACATGGGTAGTGGTCTGCCTTTTGTAGAGAAGGATCTCAGCAAAGCTGCCGCCTGCCTTACTTTCTATAGGATTTACTGATCCATCCATAAAGTAAGTTTTAATAGCCGGAGAACTGATGAATGCGATGTACCCCTCTGTCTCTGCATTCAGCCGAAGCCGAGGGTACCGACTCTTTTCCCTTGTCCAGATCATTACTATAATCTATATCAAGGATTGTGCCTGCGGCGGGGGTGCAACATAACCGGTAATCAACATACAGTACGCTATTAATACGG